CTCTCTCTCTCTCTCCCTCTCTCTTTCCCTCCTTCTCTTTCGCTTATATGTCCGCGTACATGTTTGCGTCTCGTGACCTCTCACAAAAATTACTCAGTGCAGTTTTGTTTAGCTCTGTCCAATAGTGCTGTGTCCAACCACCTGCAGTTATACTGAAAATTTATAATAATATTCTCTTTACACCTCAAGTCAGAGACATGACTTGCACATTAGTTTCCGTGTCCTGTCGGTTTGGAGCACCTCGTTCTTGTGTACGCCTCCTGTGAGAAGAAAGCTGAAAGACGTTGATGACAAACTTGAATGTTCACCTCCTGTAAAGCTATCTCGGCGACGTGGTGTGAATGTATACCACCTCAATGAAAGTTGTGTGTGTGTGTGTGTGTGTTTGTATTTGTGTGTGTGTGTGTGTGTGTGTGTGTGTGTGTGTGTGTGTGTGCGTGTGTGTGTGTGTGGCTATTTGCCAAGTGCTACTACATAAGCTTTATGTTATTTGGATATGGAGAAGAGCTCTTTGAATCCCATGGGATACAAACAAAGAATGTTTTGCGGAAGGATTTGTCTTTAACTAATTACTCTATGTTTATGTTTACCATCGAGGTAAATGAGATTCTCGCATACTGCTTTTTGATCACCTGTCAAGATGCAAAAGGTCATAGTTGTGTAAGTTAATGTCAAGTTATGGTTTGCATCCCGAAACAACTTGATACTGTCTGTTTCCCAGCGTCTGTTTTAGGCTGTTTTTGCGCACACGACGTTATTTCGCACCTGCGTGAGGGGGGTCTTTAGTTTTAGTAAGATTTTACGGCGCTCGCTTAACTGCATAAGGTCATGAGCGCCAAGGGATGGGTGTCAACAGAAAAGTCCAAACAGGGAATCAGACTTACTCTGCTCACTTCTCTAACCTCTACAGCACGAAGTCTGCTTTGACTATCAAGGCACCCCTGAAATAGCAGTTCACAAGAGAGTGTCAAATATACATAAGAAGTAGAGGAAAAATGAAGATAGTAAGGATGAGGAACGAAAAAGCAGCAACTCCCCCTAGTTGTTCCGGCACAATATGAGCATGACATTGAAAAATCGACCTATTTACAATTCTAATGTGCATAAGAACATGTTAATGTCCATCCCCCCTTTGGTTTGGGGGGGGGGGGGAGGGGTTGATTTTTAAATATCTTATATCGTTGTCTCTTTTACTGGTATGGGGTTGCTCACTGAGTCCGGGTTTGCTCAGACACACCTGACTAAAGCAGCCCTTCTCCTAAATGATATCAAACGTGTGGATGGAAGCGAACTAGATTAACCAGCAAATTATCACCTGCTGTTGCATTATGTAGGTCCGATGTCTTATTGTGTTCGTTCACCGAACCGGTTTGTCCATGATGGGCGACCTATGTGCAAATCCTACCCGTTTCCACTCCTCCATCTCGTGGTAGGAGGGCGTCACTGGTAGATTTCCGTTCTTTTCTTATCTTTTATGGCGTACGTCTGTCATTATTTTTACTTTGCCGAATGATTGTTATCGTGTTGATGTTCTTCTCTTTACTCAAAGAAACAGAATAGACCACCTACATGCATGTTTTAAAGTATATGTTGAGTTTGACCGAAATTTTATAATTTCAATTAAAAGATGGTGTTACTTTTAAAGAACACTCGGTTTTTGCACTGCTTTTATTTTGTGTGCTCTTTCTTTGTTTCTGACAGACCTCCACATAATTCCTTTGTATTGTAATTTTCAGGTCCCCACTGTGTCATTGGCCCAATCAATTTGCATGCAACAACAGCCAGTTACACCGTTTGGTAGTGGTGAATGTCAAGTTTACACCATCTTTATCGGAAAGAAAGACGAACTTTTTATCAATCTGACCCCATAAACACGATGCGTCCTTACGTGAACAATGTTGAGAGATGGTGTCCTTGAAGGGGTAATAAAGATCAGTTGAAGCTCACGGTGTATACTTTCGGGGCCTCGAGGTAATTTTATTTTCTCTTTTAAACTCACACACGGCTGCGTTATGTAGACTTCTACCATACGTTGTGAGACAGTCGTTATCACGAGAGATCCTCCTCATTGACCCGGCCTCGAGTGGCTTATGTAACTTTGTCATAGATGGTGATTGGACTTGTTGCGTGATCTTGAACAACGGCTCTGCATGTGATGTGAAGAAAAACTAACAAAACAAACCAGTAAAAACTCAACATACTTGGTGTCTCTTTGCTATCCTTTCACTACCCCCTCCCTACCACTTCCCTACCACTTCCCTACCCCTCCCTACCTACCCCCTCCCGCCCTTCCCACCCCTCCCACTTTGATCCGGTGCGGAGGAGTTGAACAAAAATTCAAGAATTGGAAGCTAGTTTTAGTTATAGTATTGTTCCTCGGTTTCTCCGCCGGCGCTATCATGTCTCTAGGCCGGATGTTGATGAGACAGTTGTCCCCCGTGACGGACCAGGTGTTGCTGACCGGCGTGGCAGGAGTGTCCGACACCACCATGCTCCTTGACGCTCAAGTCACGCACGTGCTCAACCTGGCGCGCGAGCTGTCCGACTTGACCTACCCGGAGACCCTGACGGAAGTCCGGAGGGTATCTCTCCGGGACGCCGAGGACGAGAACCTTCTACCTCACCTGGACGAGCTGGCGGACTACGTCCATGACGTCACCGAGTCCGGAGGCCGGATCGTGGTGCATTGTGTAGCCGGGGTGAGCCGCTCAGCCAGCGTGTGCATCGCTTACCTCATGAAGCACCGAGACATGACGCTCAGAGAGGCGCACCAGCGCGTGAAGGAGGCGCGTGAAGTCATCAATCCCAACAGCGGCTTCTGGGCCGCGCTTATCGAGTACGAGTGGGAGCTCAAGGGAAGCAACTCGGTGGAGCTAATGCCGTTTGTGGCGGGCTCTGTGCCCAGTATAGACAGCTACAAGAAGGAGATGATGTACCGCATGCGTCTGGGCTGGATGGACTATGTGTTTTACAACATCGCCGTTCAGCTGCTGCTGCTCGTTGTGCAGATGTTTTCTGTGTGTTTCTTCGTTTATGATGTCTGAGCCATAGACTTCTATCATAATACATAAGACTTTGCACTCTGATGTAATTCCATAGACTTCTATCATAATATATAGGACTTTGTACTCTGACGTAATTCCATAGACTTCTATGATAATACGCTAGACTTGGACTCTGTCGTAATTCCGGCTCACCACGGAGCGCACCATTTAATTCTGTTAAGAGCAACATGAAAGAGAAGGAAGGAAAAGTTGCGCGTGCCCTCGAGACTTCCCCTATAGCGAGACTTTTTCCACCTTCATGTAAATGACCAGAATTGAGTTGATAGTGCAGTAAAACAGCTACTCAATCAACCAATCAAATCAATCGTTCAATCCCCGCTTGTACGCGCCCATGGTACGCACCAGCTCAGCAAAGTTTTTGTAGAGGGCAAAGAGCAACCGCCATGGCAGTGCCCGGTCGAGGATGTTATAATTCTTGTTTATGGTGTGAATCGAAAGTTGATCTGTTTGTTACAGGTTTTTTTTCCACTTTCTTTTACTTCTTTTGTACCTTGCGGTAACACCAATGCATAATATTAATAATAATAATATGTGGTTTTAATATATTATGTATATATATTTCTTTTTCAATTTCATTTTTTTTTCACTTTTAATGGTTCCCCATTCATATTTCCAATTTCGTTATAATCTATCATGTTTAAAAGTATATTATGTACAATGTACATATTATATGAATATTATGAAATAATTCAGACATTACATGAACTTCATCTATACAGCATGTCAATCAAAAACGAACAATTTGACATAAAATTTACGAATGCGATATTGCTGGTTGCCACTCCCCACATCTGTTTTATTTGAGTTTGAGCTTGGGTTTTGTAGTCTTACCCAAGAACACACCCGTATGATCACCTATCAAAATGCAGTGTCTCTGTTACTGCTTGACGGTTTTTTAAATAATTTTTGTTTTAGACCCTAGACTCACGTTTTTAGTGTAGGCATGCTTGTGTGGTCGAGGGATTAGTGACCTGGTGTTGATTTATGTCGTCATTCTTTCTGTGATGACAAGATGGAACAGAGAGAGAGAGAGAGAGAGAGAGAGAGAGAGAGAGAGAGAGAGAGAGAGAGATTTTATCAATGTTTTATTCCAATTAGTTTCGTGTGTAATATTAACGGGTTAAAGACGTAGCGGACACATAATAAGCAGGGGTTTACAGTTTACACGTACATGTTTTTCATAGCGTGTGTTTTGTTGCTTGTATTTTTAATTAAGTTTCAGATAAAGAAAACATTTTTGATTTTTTTCCCTTTTTGCATGAATAAAGCACGTTACCCTTCAAAACAGCGTGTCTTCATCATACGTTCTCGGATGACTGAGACGTGAGGACTCAACAAGAGTTAATGATAAATAAGCTGAACCAGCGCTTCTTGTGAACTGACTGTGCCCGCTGCATGCGCTTTCCCAAGAGCGCACAAGTGCAGAGCTCTTCCATTACATTCCTATTGATATAATGTTATTGATATTATGAACAGATGGACGAAGTGATTTGGCGGCATGACTACTTATTCTTGCTCTTGCATTCAAGTGCGTCTGAAGTATCACTTAGCTTTTAGTATACGTAATTAAGTTGAGTTATGGGATCAAAAACGGTTTATCCTTATTACTTTGTTATTGTTGCTGTATCAGACTGTATTTTAATGAAAGTTTATGTTGCTCACGTGTAGATGTTTATGTAGAATATTAAGAAAAGGAGAGAGAGAGAGAGAGAGAGAGAGAGAGAGAGAGAGAGAGAGACAGAGAGAGAGAGAGAGAGAGAGAGAGA